ACGGAAAACACTGCTCGGATTACTTTACTAACAAAAGAAAAAAAAAACAAAAAAAAAAAAAAAAGAAAAACGCATTTTCAAGTAGGAAGAACTTTCTCGAACGGTTCGTTATGTGAAAACCTCTTTGTAATTGTCACCGTCTTTGATCTCTCTCAGACATTTTTCGAACTTTCGTTTCCTTCGTGGTAGGATGTGACATTGGAAGTGTTTTTCTTAAAGGGACCATCTCTCTCTCGCGATGAATTAGGAAAAAATAGAGAGGGATAGAGAGAGATAGAGAGAGAGAGAGAGAAAGAGAGAGAGAGAGAGAGAGAGAGAGAGAGAGAGAGAGAGAGAGAGAATTAGGGCGTGTCGAAATTTCGAGAAGAATTTCTCTGTCGACCACCGTCAGTTGCGTTATAAAGGCACGACAAAATAAGTAAACTGATGGAAGGTGGTACACCCAGTCGAAGGTTTCCTTTCATCCTTGACGAAGGATACACGAGGCCAGCCGTCACCTCCGCCACTGCCGTCGCCGCCCTCTTCCCTTTTCCTCTTCGAAGATTTCTCCAATTTTTCTCTGCGTTTCTAGAAATCTAAACCAATCATGGTGGCCGCCTTTCCAAGTCGCCGTTACATTTCTAAGAATAGTATTAAACTTTCTCGACTATTAGGAAAAAAAAAAAAAAAGAAGTGGAAAAGAAAAATGATAGACGAGACCTTTTCCCTTTTTTTTTTCTTTCATTTTTCCTCACCCCCTCCCTCCCTCCCTCTCTCTCTCTCTTTCTCTCTCTCTCTCTCTCTCTCTCTCTCTCTCTCTCTCTCTCACACACACACACACTCTGTTCTCTTCGTTTTGTTAAGAAATACAAAATGAAGCTCAAAAATTTCCTTTAGGTGACTTTCAATATCAATTAAGTTCTCTCTTTTAATAAAACTTTGAGGCTTTCTCTTTTTTCTTTTTTTTTTTTTTTTAATTGTAAAATTACAATTGGTTTAGGAACTTATTTACAGTTTAAGAAAAGAAATTAGGCCCAAATAGTTCCGAAAGAAAAAGTAGGTAATAGTTTTTTATTCTTGTTTTTTTTTTTTTTTTTTTTTTTTTTTAGATGGAAAACCTTAGTTCACCCCGTTTTCTTTTTTTCTTCGTTTCATCGTTTCAATTTATAAGAATAGAATTAAAAATCATGAAAAAAATTTCTTGAGATTTTCTTTTTCTTCTTCTTTTTTTTTTCTTTTTTTTTCTCTCTTTTTAAACCTTTCGTAAGTTGCTAACGGTTTTAATAGATTCCAATGAAAATTTGAAGAGGGAGAATGGGAGAGAGAGAGGTAGGAGAAGGGGATAGAAAGAAAGAAAGAGAATGATCTCTCGATCGTAAGGATACGATCATTCGTGTTAACTTGACGTGCGTGGAAGAATCGTAACTGGAATCTTTGAATTAAGGTTTTCCTTTCGAATAGACATCGCCGTGAAATTCTTCGGCCGATTAGAGCGCCAGTCGGATCGAGTTTCTTGCGGACACTTTCAAGCCGTACCTACCGCAAGAAGCTATTCGTTTATCCAAGGAGTCGCGTGTAGTATGCAAGACCCCTTTGGTACAAGACCGCAACACCAACTGCGGTTATGATCTTTTATTTTAGTTTTTTTTACTTTCATTTTAACTCTTCTTTCGATTTTCTTTATACCCAATCAATTCTCTAAGCTTTATACCGTTCGATTCATTCAAAAGTAATCTTATTTGCTTTAATATTTATTTATTTATTTTATTTATTTATTTCCTTTTTTCTCTTCATCCGGAAAAATTTCATCTAAAAAATAAGTGACGAAAAAAGAAGTCGATAAATTATATAAATATAATACAACTATAGTTTTCTCTCTCTCTCTCTCTCTCTCTCTCTCTCTCTCTCTCTCTCTCTTCTCTCCTCTCTCTTTCTCTTTTTTTTTCTCTGTCTGTCTGTCTGTTTGTCTGTCTGTCCGTCTCTCTTTCTCATTCATATTGCGAGTACGATAAAAGGGAAGGATAGGGAAGTAGTTGGGAGGCGTATAGGGGACCTTCTTTTTTCCATAAGTGGTCCCCGCGGGCCTTATGGGGTTTCTCGTGCTCGACAGTATCTACATATTACAACCTCGTGGCGCGGGGACCACCGTCGTTGACATAAGATCCTGTTATGCTGTCTGCTATCTCTCCGCGCAGTTTGTGTCGTGCCATAAAAAACATTAAAGGTACGAATAACATAAATTCGTTAACTATCCTAACTTCTCTCTCTCTCTCTCTCTCCCTCTCTCTCTCTCTCTCTCTTTTTTTTCTTTCTTTCTCTCTTATGCTTTCATATTCAGATCTCATCGTAGTCCTCTTCGTCATCTCTCATTTCAATCTTTACTATATTATGCAACGTTGACAAAATCGTTACTATACTTATTACGTTACTATACTAGAGCACGTGTCAGTCGAATAAAGAATCTCATGGATATATCGTCTCACTCTCTTTAAAGAAAAAATTTTCGAAACGTAATAGTCAAAGAAAAGAAAAGAAAATTATATATATATATATATATATATATATATATATCAGGACGATATATTTATAATAAAAATATTGTTGGTTCATTCGAAACAAATTATCAAAATTTGTACGTAAAAATTCATACTGAACAATTCCTCAAAGGAAAAGTCAATATTTGCTTTTTACATTAGCGAAGATAATGCTTTCTCTCTCTGTCTCTCTCTCTCTCTCTCTCTCTCTCTCTCTTTCTAGTTATCTATCTATCTATCTATCTATCTATCTATCTATCTATCTATCTATCTATCTATCTATCTATTTATTTCTATCTCTTTATCTGATGGAATCTATCTCTTCAAAGTCCTTACGAATGAAGCGACATAAAATGATGGCCGACTATTTTCCACTTAAACTAAGAAGCTCAAAGGATAATTTGCATCTCATTTGGATATGGGAACGTGAAGTAAATAAGGAAGAAGATGCTAGACGAGAAAAGAAAGAAAGAAAGAAAGAAAGATTAGAGAGTGATTTTCATCGGCAACCCCGAGATATACATACCCTGAGGCCATGTGGTCGACGGTGGATTGTGTCCATGCGTCTAGAGTTACTCGGGCCCATGCGCCCGCGGCACGAGAGTTAATTGGCTGGAAAACCTTGCTATCCGATACCAACTCTGCTACCGCCCCGAGATACGTAAACGTGCATAAT